GGTTGTAATGGACCCTGTGCACAGTGTGCATCTGTTTGATTGGTGGCATCCACAGTTTCCTTCTTCACACATCTGAAGACTCCCAAGTTTACATCATAAATTGTATTCTGTGCTATTTCCATAAACAACAAAATTTGATAAGCCAGTCTGTGTATATGTTTAATCACTTCTTGGGAAATAATTTCTGCTAATAAGATTAGAAAGAACTTCTGTAAAGCATTTTATTATATGAAAAATAATTCATCTGCAAAGTATTTGGTGCTAATGAAATTTGTCCTTTTGCTTTCTGATAACAAAACACAGCAGAAATGTATAACCAAAAGCCAACAAGGGTTTATCAAAAACAAACATGTCTGACAAATCTTACTGCATTCTTTGACAAAGTAATAATATTAGTGGACCAGAGAAATGCTGTGGATATAATTTACTTGGACTTCATTCATCATTTGATAAAGTAGACCGAATCTACTTCTTGATAAGATAGAAAAATGTGAGCAAGACAGCATCACTACCAGATGGATTCATAACTGGCTGACCAACCACTCATCGTGTAGTTGTTAATGGAGCTGCATCTACATGGAGGGAGGTGTGCAGTGGGGTACCTGAAGGATCTGTCTTAGGCCCAGTATTCTTTAATATCTTCGTCAATGATTTACATAAGATGGGGAGCTTTGCAGATGATACCAAGCTGGCAGGAATAACCAACACTCCAGAAGATAGGCTTAACATACAGAAGGATCTTGACAAACTTGAACATTGGGCCCTAGCTAACAAAATAATACTTAATGGTGAAAAAAAATAAGGTTCAGCATTTAGGCAAGAAAAACCAAATGCACAAGTATAGTATAGGTGGTACCTCCCTCAATATTACTAACTGCAAGATGGAACTTGGAGTCCTAATGGACAATCACTTAAATATGAGCCAGCAGGCTGCTGCAACTGCCAAAAAAAAAGCCAACACAGTCCTAATCAGCATTAACCGGGATAGAATCAAGATTACGTGAAGTGTTAACATCACTTTATAATGCCTTGGTAAGACCACACTTGGAATATAGCATCCAGTTTCGGTCGTCATGATATAAAGATGATGTTGAAACACTAAAAAGAGTACAGAGAAGAGCAACAAATATTATTAGGCTAAAATATGAATGGTTGCAGGAACTGGGTATGTCTAGTTTAATGAAGGCCTAGGAGTGACATGGTAGCAGGGTTGCAATATCTAAGGGGCTGCCACAAAGAAGAGGAAATCAACCTGTTTTCCAAAGCACCTGAAGGGAGAACAGGAACAATGGATGGAAACTAATCAAGGAGAGAATCTAGAACTAAGAAATTTCCTGACAGAACAACCAATCAGTGGGATGACTTGCCTCCAGAAGTTGTGGGTGCTCAATATTGGAGGTTTTTAAGAAGAGATTATTTGTCTTCTTAAAATTTATTAAGAAGATTAGATTATTATTAAGTTTCCTGCCTAAGCAGGGAGTTGGACTAGAAGACTTAAGGTTCCTTCCAATTCTTGGTCTGTGTAAATTGGCCCATTTTAGAGTGATCCAACTCTGAAATGTTCATTTTCACCACCTATGGGCCTATATAAATATTAGGCAGTTATAAGTTTTGAACTAGATTGGAACTGGAAGCTCTAGGTTGCCATGATGATATGGATGTGACCAAGCCCCAAAATATTCACATCGGACTGTTCCGTTTCAGTGTAAAGATTCTGGAAATTGGTCCAATCTGGGACATTCTTAATTACTCATCCCTCCTTTGTAGCTAATAACATTCACAATTCACATAATAGGTAGATATCTGTTTCACTTCCACATGCACATGTTCCACTCCTATAAAAGTGTTTTACTAGTTCCAAAGACTGTCATCATGAATTATATATTTATGGCAAAGAACTTTCAGATTGTTCATTTATTGATTACACCTTCACAGAATATAGGTAGTCCTTATTTAGCAACTGCCTAGTTTAGAGGCTGCAGTGACAATTGTGATAAAAAATAACTATGACTAAATCCATTTGAAGGTCTGTAAAGGAAAGGAAAGCTAAAGTTTTAAGCACAGACATTTCATTTACCAGCTGCTTTGCTTAATGACCAAGTTATTAGTCCCAGTTGTAGTCACCTAAACAAGGACTACCTATATAGAAAAAAACAATTGTGCTGATTCCCTTAAGCATTAATTTTGTAGGTATGCTGGAATAGATTAAATGTTTCATATTTAAAACAGATTAATAAAGATTAATGTTTATTTATTTAGTATATTTTTATCCTGTCTTTTTTATAAATAACAAGGTAGCAAACATACCTAATATTCCAGCCTCTTGTTTTCCCCACAACTGTCGTTCAATACGAAATGGGCAGCAAATAAATTTCATAAATAAATAAATTCTGTAAGGCGGGTTGGGCTGAGAATCACCCAAATAATTTTTGTGCCTAAGGGAGCAAACTCAGTTATCCCTTCATCCCAATATCAAACTGACACTCATTTACATGCAATTAATTTGATATCTATCATTATCATTATGAAGGTTTCTAGAAACAAAAAAAGCCTATTTGTAGTTGTAAAATGAAACAATAGGTAATGGGTAACCGGGTAAGGGACAGTCTGGTTATAGGAAGAAAGGAGATAAGCAAACTAAAAACAGGTGATCAAGTTAGCATAAAAGGAGAGATGAATAGGTGTTACCATTCCTAATTTAAGAGATTTTTTCCACCTGTGCACAGCTTCTTGCTGGACAACTTACCTTTGTCCTCTAAAAATAGCTCAGATTAAATTGTCAGTTTTAATACAATCTATATTATGTGATAATTGAGGTATAAAATGGCCTTTAATATTTCAAATAGGTTCCCTTTACACATCATTCTTTTAAAGCTTTTATATTCAATATCTCTTAGCTTGACTACAAATTTGTCTAATTTCAGCCATTAGTACTAGTGAACTTTCTGCCTGAAGTTTTTTTAGTTTTTTTTTTAAATCAGTATATATTCATGTCTTGAAATCTTTGTGGAAGATTTGGAATTTTTAGCCAATTTTTCGCACAGATAATTTTCTAGATTATATGGTACCACCAATGTATTTCTTTTTTAGACTCATACAAAACATCCTGATTCATAGAATCTGCTAAGCCATATTTTACTTAATCATAAGTTGCTAAATAAAGCCCAGTTGCATGGGCTTATTTGAAACTGCAAATGTTGGTCCACAAATCATAAGAGGCTACATTATACACTCCAAATTAAATCAGTAACAGGTCTTTGGTGCTCTCTGAGCTTAGTTGGTGTGTCCCGCCTCAATCTAGGTATTTTTTTAGGTATGTTGAAGGGATTGGAGCATAAGCAGAGTGCATATACAGTTTGTTTCTGGCCCAATCTTTGATTTCCTTGCTGAACTCCATTGTAACTTGTGCTGAGCTGGGAGATAAGCCAACTGCAGAGAAAAACTTCTAGGCGAGCTGCCAACCTTAGCCTAGCAAAGTAATTTACTTGAGAAATGCAAAATGCATCTATCTGCTTGTAACTAACTCAGAATGTCTTCTTCCCAGTAACTTAAAATGTGAGAAACGAAGCTTTGAACTAAAATGTATTTCTTTCCAATCCATCTAAGTAAGGTCCCTTTGTTTGTAGAGGCACTGAGAAAATTTCATGAGCTTTGCTTGATATGAAATAATGTTTCCATAGCAATGACAGTCTTTGCTAGCTGTGTAATCTATAAAAGTTCAAGAAAAAGTTTTTGTGCGCGCCTGCTTTTCTTTCTGCCTTGCTGTTTAAGGTGGGAGACTGAAAGGTTGCCCAGTTTTTGCTTTCTGATCAGAAAATAAAGCTGATTATCAGTAGCCTCGTGTTCAGAGTTTCATTGGATTTATTAGATTCTCAAAAAACCTTACAACCTAATCTAGATTTTTTTCCCTAACCTGTTCTAGGTAACATCACTAGCACTGATGATGTTACCTAGTTGGGGTAATGAAATGTCTGCAAGAAAATAATCAAGCTCAGAGAGCACCAAGGACCCCCTCATTTCAATCCTGAGTTACAAATATTCTTCTTTACACTATTCTTTAATTTTCTTTGTAGTAATAAAGACAGATTGGTTTTATGTCTAAGAGATCCAAGTGATCCAAAAAAATACATCATTTGATAACATGGAAGTGGCTACGCAGAATTATACGACTAGAAGCAAAGTTGTTGATTTGCCCAACAATGCATCAGCAGCAGTATCTTCTAGGAGAATAGCTGATGTCATCCTAAGAGTTTACAGGATCTTTAATATTACATTGCAAAAACTGCTAAAATCAGTCAGCTTTATTTGGCTGTCAAGCTAATTTAGAAAGCAGCAATGTGACTGATGATCTAACTATCTCTTTCATAAGCAAGTTCCACATTTAATATTTTTAACTTTCTCCTATTAACCATTACCCCATGAATATTAGTATTGTTCTCCAGTTACGTTCATTTATAGATCTTACACTGTGTTATCTTGCTAGTATTACCTTACTAGGGTTGAGAAAGAGTGACTGGCCCAAAGTCACCCATCTTACTTCCTGCCTAAGGCAAGACTAGAACTCATGATTTCAGGGTTCCTAATCCTCTTCCACTATACCAGGGGTGTCAAACTTAAGGCTTAGATCTGGCCCACAGAGCTGCCCTGGAAACAGCAAAGAACCAGCCTGCAGTGCCTCTGCCAGCAAAAACAGCACCTCACGTCACCCTCCCGGGCTCCGTTTTCAGCCACAATGGCCTCCTGCAGCCCTCTGCCAGCAAAAACAGAGCCCAGGGTGTCTGTTTTTGCTGGCAGAGGGCTGCAGGAGGCTGTTGCAGCCAAGAACAGAGCCCTAGTGGGCCACGTGCAGCCTCCCTGAGCTCTGTTTTCGCTGGCAGAGGGCTGCAGGAGGACATCATGGCTGAAAACGGATCCTCGATGAGTGATGTCAAGCTGGCCATGCCCACCCCAGCCATGCCCCCCCCAGCCTCCCGAGGTTTGATGCGGCCCTCAATGAAATCGAGTTTGACACCTCTGCACTACACCAAACTGGCTCTCCTATACCAAACTTTAAAGAAATACTAGTATAGGATTGTATCTATACTAGTATTTTATATATTATTTCTTCATATTTTAAGTTAGTGGATTTTGCCATTCTTAAATTAATAAACTTTGGGGAGGGGAAATAACATTTTTATTAAATAAGGAACTACTAGTTCTATAATTAGATGCAATTCAGGTAATTAAAATTAAACAATGCAAGTGTCCCTTTCTATTATTTAAGTTTATGTTCACAGGTAATTTTCTCATAGCATAATCTCATCTGCACCTAGATAATAATTTACCAGTGACTTGTAGATGCTATAATAAATCCAGTGTTTATTTAGGCATAATAGATGGAAGATAACCAGAGAACTATCCTCTCATAACAGAAGACAGGTTGGTGCTGTCGGCATTTGTAAAAGAGGACTGGGTTTTAGAATGAAGCCAAGTTATTGGATTACAACACTGAAGAAAGTGTTCTACCCTCTTCTAGCCATAATTGGCATTCCATGTAAGTAGGGGAAACAGCAGGAGTTGAAGGCTGCAAAATTGGAAGTGATGTTCAAGGTGATATCAACGGTGCAAATTAATGCACAATCAATATTGGGAGGGCATGAGTTGGGACACATGATCTAGGGAAGAGTTGGGACGGATGATCTAGGGAAGAAAAGACAACAGGAATAAAACAGGAGTTTTATTCCTGTCCACAGAAAGCTCCTGTGAAAGAAATTCCTTATTTTTGGATCCTGAACAGCCAGAATAGTTACCTATAAATTGCAATGTACTTTGATTCCAATTTGGAATTCAATCTGTATGTTCACTGACTATTTTCAGCTTAATTATGTAAACTGCATTCTAAGTTTACATCAAATATTCTGTAATGATAATGTCATGAGTATCTTTTAAAGAGAAAAGGAGTGGAAGAGTTGAATTCTGATCCTTACTAGAATCAATATTTCCAGTTGCTGATAACAAATTTCTGCAAGAAATTATTGAGCACTTGAAAATTCTGTTTTGATCTTTTTTATTGTAATTTGGATTGTGTGATCTTGCATGTATTGGCAGAAAAGCCCATGGTTAATTATTTATCTTGCAACACAATGCAAACAGGTATCAAAAATTAGCTTTTTGTTAAGAATATCATGGTTAAAAAAGGAAGGATTTTTGGCATTTTGTTCTGGAAGATTTTGAGAACAGTCCAGTAGTAGTTTAACTCATTTGCACTAATCTTGACTGTGACAAGGTCTTTGATAACCGAGTGAGCTGATGGAATAGGAACATACCCAATAAATAAGGAACAATGGAACTTTAGTAGCACAACTTCCACATGGGAGAGGAATATGGCATGCTGGAACTGAACTTAAGTAGACACTTGGAGAATAAACACTTTTATATGTTCTTATTTTATTTTTCAGCAAACGTTATGACGTTAGTGATCTTCAGTCAAAGAAACTGTTTTATTTCCACCTCCAGTCGCTACCTCCTCATGGCTATGTCATTGGCTGACACAGTGGTCCTTATTCTTGTGGTTGGCATTGAGATAATTGTAGAATGCTTTTGCATAAGTCCATTCTGGTACAGAGATCCTTGGTGCACCTTGCGGGATGTGTTCAACTATGGTGCAGTTAACACTTCTGTCTGGTTGATGGTTTCTTTCACCATTGAGCGTTTCATTGCAATCAACAATACCAAGCTCAGGATGAAAATCTCTTCTCCCAGAAAAATACTTCGTGTTATTGTTGTGATTCATGTTTGCTGTTATACTGTGGCCATCCCCCACTACTGGTCTAACTATTCAGAAATGGAGAATGGTACAGGACATGTCATTTGCAAATATAACCCTGAACTCCCCAGTGCATATGTGAAAGGACTTGTCTGGTTCCAGACTTCTGTGATCTATATTATTCCATACATCATTATCTTTACCTTAAACAGCCTCATTCTAAGGCAGTTAATCCACAATAACAAAGTACACAGTGTCACTTGGGCAGTCTTGCGCAGAACCACTCCTGCAACTCATTTTCGTAACTGGAAGAAATCAATCATCCTTTTGGTTATGGTTTCAATGACATATGCCTGTCTCTGCACCACCAGGTTTGTGACTCAAATAGTCATAAAAACCTCCTACTATGACATAGATAGGCAAGATTATTCCAAGACCATTAATGTTGTAGCAGATATTGGTACCATGCTGGAAATGACTAACACTGCTATCAATATGTATCTGTATGCTTGTACCCAGCCTGCTTTCCGAAAGGAGCTGATCCGATACTTGCAGGGTATTCTGTGTTACTGGCCAACAAAAAGAGAGCATCCAATGAATGTACTTTCAGTATTGAGTTAGATAGGCAGAAGTGGTACTATTTGGTTGAGCTACAAAACACTGGACGTTTATGCAGAATAAACTTGCAGAAATGCTGGACTATTCCCTTTTAATGATGATAAAGCTGCTAATTCAGCATTAAATTCCATAAATTTTGCCATCATGCTGTGAGGAAGTTAGCACTCACCCCTTTCCTAGAAAAATGAAATATCCTAGGAAATATTAAAAAGGCAGAATACTTCCCCTAAAAAAGTAAAAACTCAGAAGCAGAAACTCACCTCAGAAGCAGAAGCTCACCCCCACCTTTGCTAATGGACCATTACTCTGGCCTAGGCCAGTCTATTTTACATAACAAAGATCTACTCCAGGTAGAGCTATAATAGGAATTGCCCACTACATCATCATCCAGCAAGGCTCAACCAAGCCTGGGACTCAGGACAGCCTACAGAGTTGCCCCTGCATGGCCCAATGGGAGTCTGACAACCGATCAGAATACAAGCTCAAATTCAAATCCCAACAGAGGGTATAAAACCCAGGGACTCTCAGCATATCAGCCCTTTTCCTTCTTTTCCTTCACCCAACATCTTGAAGCATGTGATCATCCTTTTCACTTTGAAGCTCCAAGCTATGTTGTCTTGTCCACCATTAAACCATCTTTCCAAACAGCCTCCATGTTACCAGTGTCTTTTTCCCCACTTGGAACTGAACCCAGAAGGATAATTCCTCCAACAATTTGGCACCCCAGATGGGACTCCAAGCTAATCTAACCAATGGACCAGGCTGAGGTAAGATTCCCTTGCTGGCAAGCAGACCCATTGATTCTGTAGGTGAATTTTCCTGGACCTTGGCCATTTGGAAAACAGGTTTTAAAGGGGTTTTGAGTGTTGAGTTCAAAGGCTGCTTGTTAGGAAGATGAGTACCTCAAAATTCTAAATTGAAACCATGGGAAATGTGTGTATGCCTGCATGTGTGTGAGTGAGAGGGCCCTTCTCCCAAACACAACTGGATCTTGCTTCCTCTGTGCATTTCCTAACCACAGAAAGACCAAGAGTCTGGAGAGCATGGGGGGTTTGCCAGAGCACAGGACCTTTTGTTATGGAAGGAGGAAGAGTGTGTGTTTGAGAGAGTGGCTTCACCCTTGGACAGCAGCTGGATCTCATTACCCTATTAGACCTCTAGCTTCACCCCTGCCTGTTGCTAGCTCTGAGCAATGAGCAACAGAATTGGGAAAGCAAGGGGAGGCCATCAGAGTGTGGGACCTTCTGTATATAAGAGGGAAAAGCCAAACGGGTTATGATTGAATGGAGAAAGAAAGTTTTTGTTGTTGTTTTTTATTCAGTGTATCCCAAAAGCAAACCCCAGGATTTTAGGTAATTGTGAATTTAGGTAATTAGGAAGTTGTGAAGTAATAGGAGCACCAATACTTGCCTGCCAAGAGCAGCAAGTCCTCCCGGATTTGAGCTGTTCCAAATCCAAGAACCTGAGCCGGAAGAGGAGTGCCAGTACTTTCTGTGGGGACAGAAAGTTCTCCCAGACTGTCTTTTTTGGGGACAGTAAGTCCTCACAGACCGTTTTTCCCCCAGTCTGAAAACCGTGGCCGGAAAATTCCCTCGGAAGGGAGTGCACATACTTTGTAAAGGGAATCCAAGACATTCCATCCATTGGAGCCAGTAACTGGGTTTGGATCAAGCCTCCATTGAAAGTCATTACAGCAACCAGAGTGGGGCAGACCTTCCCAAGCCTGACTGACCACCCATACCACCAGGCCAAGCCTATACCACCTAGAGACATGAAGGAAAAGACCAGGGGTGGGATTCAATTTTTTTAACAACTGGTTCTGTGGGCATGGCTTAGTTGGTGGGCATGGCTTTGTGGTCATGTGACTGGCTGGGTGTGGCCAACTCAATATCACTCACATTGAGGCACACATCTCCTCACCTGGCCTCTCATGAGTGGGGATGCTGCAATAGTCGTAAGTGTGAAAAATGGTCATAAGTCACTTTTTTCAGTGCCATTGTAACTTTGAATAGTCATTCCACACAAGCAAAGTACCAGCAAAGGAGGGGGAAAAAACTCCAGAGACGTTCCTGTGACAGGAAGTCTAGTCCTGCCAAGAATGTAATAAGGGTTAACGGAGAGGCAGTTTCTGTAAGCAACACCAGAATGTTTCCTTCCTGTTTTCCTTACAGGATTAGGCCAGTAATTTCTTCTAACAATCGGTTCTCCAAACTGCTTAGAATGTTAACAACCAGTTCTAGCGAATAGGTGTGAACCTGTAGAATCCCACCCCTGGAAAAGACCCTGAGATGGACCAGTAAAAGGCTAAAAGACTCTTTTCAATCCCCAGAAGACAGAAAGATTATGGGGGGAAGGGGGGAAATTCATTGTAACGTGAAATTCATTGTAATGTTTTCATTCTTGTATCATTTATATTGTAATCAGTCTAATGTACTCATGTAAGGATTGTATTTGAGTGGCTGGCCCAGCAAGTTCTTAACACCTTGGACTTCTGTCTGGTGGGAGGGAAAATTGTCCAGCATGCTTGTATTGTCTGTATTGTAAAACTAGCTGCATACACAAGCACACACAGAGAGACACCTCATTCAGAAAGACAGAGGTTACCCCCTTCACCTACCTCCACACAAAGCTGCTCCTAGCTTCCTTTT